AAAAAAAATCATTCTTCAAATGATAACATAGAGTTTTCACCAATCTATTGCATGCAAAAGGAAGCCCACAGCTGTTTTTGTGAAATTAACAAGCAACCCTGTTGTTTTTGTTAGCTGCCGCCAAGTCAACTCCGACTTATGGCAACTCTGATCAATGAGCAATCTTCAGAGTTTACAAGACGCAAACTCAAGACTATGGTTTCCTTCAGGAAGTCAATCTATCTCATATTCTCCCTTCATCTTTTCCTGCAGTTTTCAACCTTTCCCAGCATTATTGTCTTTAGCAGAGTATCTTGACTTTTCATAATATACCCAAAGTAGGACATCCTCAGTTTCATCATTTTTGTTTACAAAGACAGTCAGGCTTGCTTTGATTTAGGACACACTTCTTCATCTTTCTGGTAGTCCAGGGTATCCAAAACGCTCTCTTACAGCACCACTTTCTAAACGTATCTTTTTTTCATGGCAGCTTTCTTCACTGTCCAGCTTTCTCACCTGAACATAGCAATCAGGAATACAAGAGTGGGGATGATCTTGGCATTGGTCTCCAGTGACACACACTTTCCCTTGATGGTCTTTTTATCTCCTTCATTGTTGCCCTTCCTAGTCTCAGTTGTCTTCTGATTTCTTGGGCGTACTCTCCATTTGCATTGATGACTACTCAAAATCTTTCACTATTTCAATTTCTTAATTGTCAACATTGAAGCTGTGTATTTCTTCTGTAGTCATGATTTTTGTCTTTTTAATCTTCAACTGCAGTCCTGCTGTGGCACGTTCTTCTCACACTTTCACCAAAGTCATTTCAAGTCATTGCTGCTTTCTGCCAGTAAAATAGCATTATCTACATATCATCACTTATTGATGTTTCTTCCACCAATTTTGTCCCCTTCATCCGAAACTAGTTTGGTTTTCCGTATGATATGTTCAATGTACTGACTGAACAGATAAGGGGATAAAATACACCTTTGTCTGACACCTTTGCCCATAGGAATCCATGCTGTCTCTCCACATTCTGTCCTAACTGTAGATTCTTGTTCACAATACAGGACAGTCAAATGCTGAGGCACAAGCATTTCTTTAAGAACTCAGAGTTTCTCATGATCCACAGTCAATGACTTTGTTGTACTCTATAGACTCATCTTCCTCTGAATTTCATTGGTGCTCTCTAGTAGCCAATGGATATTTGCAATATGATCTTGAGTGCCTCTTCCTTTTTCGGAATTAAGCATCTGGCATTTGTTGCTTCGTATAAGGTAAAAGATTTTGTTGCAACACCTTGAGCATCATTTTGTTTGCACACCTTAGCATCTCCTTCAGGCATTGGAATGTATACTGAAACTTTTTGGGTCATTGTTTTATTTTCCTTATTGGAACACATATTCCTATTAGGTTATTGACAAATTCAGTCTTTATAGCTTGAAATAGTTATAAGGGTATCTCATCTACCTCTAGTGATTTATTTCTTCCCAGTGCTTTCAGAATACCTTTTACTTCACTTTCCAGACCTCCAAGCCGCCCTACAAATACTTAAATGAGAGGAAGTAGTAGTTGGTCTTCAGTATGAGAATACTGGGTTTTACTTCAGAACAATTATCTACAGGATTACGTTATCAATGCAACTAGAAACAAGGTATGAGCCTTATGCTCCATTTATTCAACATGCAACTACTGTTAGCAATAAGGCCCACCAAGGAAGACAGTATACAGTGTATGGTAAATACTGAAAGCCAACTACTACCGTGTCAGAATGTGAAACAAAATGGCAGCAGTATTTTGTTCTTCTTGCTGTTTTTAAAAAAAAAAGAAAAAAAAGAAATGCTAACATGTTTTTAAGGACTTGAAGTTTACAGAGTTATAATGATGCCAGTCTTTCCATCTTCATGTCCTGATGCCTCGAGGAGGAAACTATGACCTTCCACATGATGTCAGATTACAACTGCCATCATGCCTTACCCTTGGCTTTGCTAGCAAGGATTGAGGAGAGCTCCAGCCTGTCAATATCTGGAGGATCTCGTGCCACCCCAGCCCATTTCTACAAGGTGATTCTGACGGTGCAAATAACCTACGAAATATGCTTCTCGGGTGCCTTCAAGCCCACCACGCTTTTTCTTCTTACATTAAAGGGTGTTCTAAAAGTACTGTAGGATGTGACACCACATACTGTTCTCTTATTAAAGAAAAGATGAAGATCAAGAAGGTATTTGGTTCTATAATAGCCTTTATGATCTGTGGAGTTTTTATCGACTTTTACATAGGTATCACCGTATGAGTCTCATGTAGTCTTGTGAGCCATCCTGATTTTCAGTTTGAGAGAAGAATACAATACAATATTAAAGAAATAAAGATTTATTTAAATAAATACTTTGATAAATAAAGGAAAGAAGAAGCCAAGTAATGTCTCATATGCATGCAAACATGTCCCCCCCCCAGTAATACAAATATACCACATGCCTTGATGCATCAGATGATATTCCACTCTGTCCAGAATTGGGGGACGGGGGGCAAGAATTTCAGCTGAAGCATCAGGGACTATGCCATTCACCAGAAATTGGCTGCTAACCCATCAGCCAGCCAAGGTCTCCCTTCTGAGCATACTCCTATGGATCTTCAGCATCAAAGTTGTACATATTGCAAAACTCTCTTATACTTATTATGAGATACAGGAACAGGTGAATAACTCAGCCTAGGGTTAAAATGACAGGCTGGCTAGATAGCTTAGTGGTTTAGGTATCTGGCTGCAGAGCCAGAGAGTTCGGGGTTTGATTTCCAACTGTGCCTCCTGAGAGAACAGCCAATCACTGTGGTCTTGGGTGAGCTGCACAGTCCCAAGGCAACCCTGAAGAAGGGAATAGTAGACCATTTCTAAGTATTCTCTACCTGGAAAACCCGGAAAAGGGTCGCCATAAGTCAGAATTGATTTGACGGCAGATTGTTGTTGCTGCTGCTGTCATTAGACATTATATCACTTTCACAGAATTATTACAATAAGTATTAACGCTCTATACCTTTACAAGCTCAGTATGAGTTGATTACATTTTCCCCAAAACAGCTGCATATATGACAAAAACTAGGAGATAAAATAAAGAAAGCAGATTAAAATAACATAGCCAACTAAGATAGAAGTTTAAACAGCAACATACTTCTCTTTGCACCAGTTTCTGCTTATCTGCCTGCTTCACTTTAGGACTGTTAGCCAAAAGATGACGTAATTTCACATAACTCTTCCAAAGTTTTTGGTACCTAAGAAGTAGAAAAGGAAGAGCAGAGGGTCACTCCAGTAATTACATTTCACTGGGCTATCTGCTTTGTTTTGAGACCGTTTGGAAATCATTTCATATCCATATAGAAACAGGTCTCACTACAGGAAAAGAACACATCCCAAATGTCTCACTGTTAAGTCATATTAGAGGTGTGGAATCCTGAGGTTGCCCGTATGTTGTTGTACATCTTCTTCCATTGTCACCAATAGTGAAGCAGAACAGGAATTTAAGTCTAATATCTGGATGGTTACAGACTTCCCACAGGTTTATGATCTTGGACTTCCATCTCTCACTGTGTGCAAGAGGAAATAAAAGAATGCATGATGGCGTGGACCAGAGATGGGCAAGAACCACCAGTTCAGCACTCTGTGCTGGTTTATCCTTTGGATGAACAGGTAGGTGTTCAGTGGCTCCCAACCCTGCCTCCTCCCTCAGCCACCCACTCAGAGGCAGTTCTCCGGCTTCCTTGCCCTGCATCCTCTGGGCGCTGACTTTGAGTGGGCGCCCATCAGAGGAGGTGGGCTAGGAATTGCTGAACACCTCTTTGTCCAAA